GAAGAAGAGATTTCAATTCAGAAGTTCTACCCGCACAGAACCCGGTTCTTCGCTAAACCCCCTTGTAAGTGAGTTATGCTTACCCTACTTTAATTATAACTTATGTTTAAGTTCATTATCATTATTATAAACCTATAAACAAGATTTATCAATGATTCCATTTCGTTATACTAATTGATCTACTTACAGGGATGATGTTTAGGCTGTGGTCTAGTGGGTGTTTAAAGTGAGATTTCCAAACAGTATACTTCGTATACCAAATGGTCCCTACCTTTAATATGATCTTACCTGGTTGTTCCTTACTTGATAGATCATGAAAGTAGACTTTGAGTTAATGATGAATCTAAACTAATAATTAGTCGTAATAAATATTAGACTAAAACTTAGCGATAATAATGCTAGGTTCCGTCGAAGGAAAAGACGATTGCTAGAAGCGAAACGCTCCCCGAATTTTGAGTCATCACTTTAACAAATGAGTGCATAGTTACTTTCATCTTACACATAGATATGAAGTATCTGGATAATTACATGCTTATGTGTTTATTATCTATGTCATGAATATTATGTATTAGATAAGATATTATGTGATGATGTTTAACGTATTTAATCATATAAGTATTATATACTTACAAATATATATTGGGTAGCGACATGTGATAAGAGGAAGGTGATGATAACTAGGTAATGATAGATATGCGACGATGGATAGGTGATGCAAGATAAGAGATGATTAGTTGATGTCATAACCTTGATCCGCGATGTTGCAAAGTTGCTATGTAGTTATCTACCAGAGTATAGATGACGACCACTGACTAATCTCAGCAAGTCATGTGGAAACACCGACAGGATCGTAAGCTATAGATGATAAATTACGCGTTCAGGCGATGTAGTAACTATGTATTCATGGGGTGATACTCTAACCCTTACTGGACATGTATTGGGGGAGTAATCCTCGAATCATTATTGTTTATGCGATATAGGCGATGATCCTTAGGAAGAAACATATAAGGAAATGCGATGATGAGAGGTAAATATAATGTAAGAGATGATCCTTAGGATAAATTTTTAGGGAAGATTAAATAAAGAAAATGGGGATGGATAATCAGTTTAATTGTTTGACATTAAATATGCAAAGAAACAAATGAACTACATTATTGTGAGTTGAAAACTCTATGTACTCACCAGGTTTCCCAACCTGACTCACTCAGTTTATTTGAATCTCAGGTATCTATGCGAAGATACATTACACTGAGAAATTAAAGGAGATGTAAATCATTAGTGTAAATGAATGTAATGTTTGTTTATGTTTATATTTTTGTATTAACGATAATATCCCGATGTTTTAAATATAAATATAATTATTCGGAAACGCTTTGATAACATTATTATCACGTTTTTTGGGAACAAATTTCGCAATACTACTTTTCAAAAAGAATACTCTGATTTTTAATAAGAATAAATAAAAAATTTTAAAATGACCGTGAATTTAAGGATGATACGTTGGATTAGGATCAAAAAGCTTTCGAATGTATCCACTTTTCAGGATCCAAAAAAGGAACAACAACAACCCCATTGCTGCGTCGTTGCTGTGTTTAGAGAGGTAGGAGACAAGCAAGTTTTCAGAAAAGATAGCTTGGGTACCTGAAGTAAACCCTATTAGGAGAAAGTACCCCAAACTGAATTCTTTTAACAAAACTGCTTTTTAAAATTAGCATAATAAGAATTATATTTAAATTATTATTATTATTTATTTTTTTAAACGTTAAAAATAATTATATTTCAGGAATCTAAAAACGAGCGTTACACTAATGACTTTGATTTGATGTTGTCACTGATCGGATGCCTTATTTAGTTGGTAAGGCAAACTCGGAAGCTATTATGTTATACGTCTTCCATATGCAAATATATATATATATATATATATATATATATATATATATATATATATATATATATATATATATATATATATATATATATATATATATATATATGAGTAAATTACACGAATGGTCCCTATGGTTTGGGGTAATTTGCACGTTTGATCCCTAACTTAATTTTTTTACTCGGAAGGTCCCTACAGTTTGTTTTTGTTACGTGCTTGGTCCCTACAATTTGTTTTTGTTACACATTTGGTCCCTGTCTTACCTAAAATGACTATTATTTAAATAAGAAAAAATGGTGGGGTAGGTAAGATAAAGTGAGTGGAGTGGGGTTGGGGGTGTGTTTACTTAAATAAATTAAAATATCAAAGGAAAAATAGTATCTTTAGGTAAGACAGGGACCAAGTGCATAACAAAAACAAACAATAGGGACATTCCGAGTTAAAAAAATAAGTTAGGGACCAAACACGCAAATTACCATAAAGCATAGGGACCATCCATGTAATTTACTCTCTCTCTCTCTCTATATATATATATATATATATATATATATATATATATATATATATATATATATATATATATATATATACACACACACACACACTAGCCGTTTACCCACGCCAAGCGATGGGTGTGACAATGGTTGTTCAATGCTGAAAGATGAATTAAACCCTAGAAATGGAAACGTCAACGATATATATCCAAGATTTGTGAACAGAAATTGCTAGATTTGGGGAAATACGGAGATAAGGAATGAACCGTGTCAAAATAGCCTAAGAATAGGGGATAAGATATTTGACATTTTCAACTGTTGATTATATGTACTCTACTCTTTTTGTAATGCATAAATTGATTGTACAAATGTATTGTATGTTTGTACGACTTAAAATTCAGCATTTAACCAAAAATACTTTATAAGGTAATTAAGATATATATATATATATATATATATATATATATATATATATATATATATATATATATATATATATATATATATATATATATATATATATATATATGATAAAATTACAAAAATGGTCCCTGTGATTTACCAAAAGTCACAAAGTTAGTCCCTGATAATTTTTTTTGATGCAAATGGTCCTTGTGGTTTGCAAAACTTGCAAAGTTGACCCTTTTTACTAACACCGTTAGTATATAACCGTTAGCGACTGAATCTGTAAGGGCATTTTCGTCTTTTTAAGTATAAAGGGACTAAATTCGTAATATTTGATAAACCACAGGAACCATTTTTGAAGCTTGTTTAGAAAACTAATTCACTAAAGGAAGGGGGAAGGCTCGAACTTGAGACCTTCACCGCCTTAACCATTTGAGCTGGAAACTCACTTGGTTATAACTTCTTAAAACTAACTTATATAATAACGAAAACGTTAATATATAAATAATAAATAAATTATTAAAAACATTTTTTTTACATAAATTTTTTTAAATAAAACAAAATTTATTTTAGCTGTATTATAAAAAAAATAGTTTTTTACAAACAATTTGTATCTATTTTTATGTATTAACGTTTTCGTTATTATATAAGTTAGTTGTAGGAAGTTATAACCAAGTGAGCTCCCCGCTCAAATAGTTAAAGCCCCTTCTCATATTAGGGTGGTGGAGATTTCAAGTTCAATCAATTAATTCTTTCCTTGAGTCAATTAATTTTTTTTTTTCCAAACAAACTTAAAAAATGGTCCTTGTGGTTTATCAAATGTCAAGAATTTAGTTTTTTTATATTTAAAAAGAAGAAAATGCTCTTACAGATCGAATCCCGGTTATATACTAAGAAAAGTCAACTTTGCAAGGATTACGGTTATAATTATATAATTAACCTTTAAAATTAATTTATAGTTAGTTTATCCTAAACATATATAGTAGTCCAGGGACATTATACAATTTCATATTCTTCCCTTTTTTCTTTTTAGCATCATTCACTTTCATTTTGTTACCTGATTTCTTTTCTCTCCCTCTCTCTTTATATATATATATATATATATATATATATATATATATATATATATATATATATATATATATATATATATATATATATATATATATATATATATATATATATATAATCTCCACGAGTACCTAAGCAATACACAAAGTACTTAAAATTAATAAAACACAACAACACAAAATATAATATAAATTATTTGTTTTTTTAATATATATATAAATTTTCCATGCCTCTAGATCGTCTAGAACGGAAAGGCTCCATAATTTGACCAACAAAGTACCTTCAATTCAACGTCCATAAACCCACACTCCAACATCAAAATAAGATACAAGGCAACAACATTCGTGTATGATATTTATTAAAACCTTGGGTTTGTTGAAAAATGCAAGTAAATCCCTAATATACTTCAAAAAACGAGGTCTAGTTGATCCTAATTCAAATGATATTTATAAGAATATAGCTAGATAGTGAAACAATAACGAAAATACAGTTAATCCCCCATGCATAATTACATCACCCTGAAAATTTTAAAAACACACTCATCAAAAACATTCACTTGCAAGCTTGTTCATCGTTCTTGGATGTGGGCTTTCGAAACAAATGATAATTGATTATTTATTTTCATTGTGAGCATGTGTCAACCGATGATCTATGGATACAAAGATATATATTTGCATTTTGTTCACGGGGATAGGCACAAAATACAAAAGAAAACTAACAGAAATATTATTGAATATAAATTACAAGCAAATTTAATACAACAATAACTTGATATATATTATTTGAATATGCATGACTAATGCAACTTCAAACAAATCTAGCATATTTAAATCCAAAAGAATTTATAAATTTTATTATAATTATGGTTTATCATTACAATGGAACTAACTTTTCCAAATCAACAAGGTTACATAATACTCTTATTTAAATTAAAAATTATAAAGAAACAAATTGGTATTTGAAAGTAAATATTGTGTATTATTATTTTAAGAAAATCACAAAAAATATCAAATTAGTGAATGAGTTTTAACAAAATAAGCATTTGTTTTATTTTTTACATAAATAGGTGTCCTTTTATATAAAAGGTTAAAAAAGTGTTATTTTATATTTTTGTGATTTTCTCAGTTATCATCTTTTATATTTATTTACTTACAAATCTGTTTCCTGAATCCAAGTACTCCATTTTCCAAATCATATTCGAAGTATATATCCTGTTGTTGGTAGTTTCCAATAATTATCGATGGCCCAATACTCGAATTCGACCCGATCAAATTACTTGAAACAATCGTCATACACAACACGCCATCATCGCCATCATCGCCGACGAACGAGAAGTAATCCGCCACCGGCAGAGATAATTTCGCGCCGCCTACGAAATGAAATGTAAACTCCGGTAACTCTGCAGATTTTCCGGCGACGTCAAAACACGGACGTAACCCAGTTTCCGATTCCACATCAACAGCTCTCTTATACTCCGACATTTGATTCTCAAACTCTCTCGCCACCAAATCGTAAGGGACATTGTCCATCACCGTGAACGTTGTGCCGGAATCGATGATTGCTCCGCCGTTGCCGTCGGCTCCCGGCACCAGATACTCATTTGAGATATTCACGGATTTACCTCCGATGGTGATTTCCCGGAGGTTTACGTAGTAATATTCCTGAAAAGCCTCCGAGGAATTCATTGGGTTCTTCTGAAAATTGGTGTAGCTCATTTCCGAATCTCCGGCGGTGGAATTTGTAGAATTTGTAGAATTCCGAACAAGAACAAGCTCGCTGCTCACCGGAGCGTCGTCAAAACGGTGAGAGACTAAACAATACGAAAACTTTGTCACACCCATCTGATTGGGTAAAGAAGAAGACCCACGCCCAAACCCGGCAATACCAGATGGTTGTCGGGTCGATACAATGGAGCATCCGACAGCGAAATCACTCACATCACCTTCGGGGAAATCGAGCGTATCCGAGATAAGGAACCCCGAAGTTGACCCGGACCCGTATTGAATCGTGTAAGCCGGGCAACTCTCGTTTCCGTTACATGAAGTCTGCTGACTCGACCCGGAAACCCACCCGCATTCCTTGCTGTTACACCCGATCATCTTAGCAGATGAAGAACGATTCGGGATGAACTTCGGGGTGTTGGTTTGGTTAACATCTGAAAATCTACAGTCGTAACATTTGTAGTTATTAGTACATGGAGACCATACGAGGCTGCTTCCGGTGTCCATTAAGAAGGGTAGTTTTTGAGGGGGTGATCCGAAGCTGAGAGAAATAGAGTATGCGCCATAGCTGCGAGGAAAGAGAGGAATTTGAGTGGATGAAGAAGAGGTGGTGTTGTTGGGGTTTTTGAGATAGTGGGCTCTGGTTATTGAAGAAGATGCGAGGGAGTTTATGGTGTGCTTTAGATGCGAGGATTGGTTGTTGGTTTTTGGTGTAATGTGGTGTGTGAGAGAAAGTGTAAGGGTGGAATGTGAAGAAGATGAAGGGATAGAGATACATATACAGAGGATGGTGAGGAGAGTGGAAATGGGGAGAGAAGAAGAAGGAGGAGGAGGAGCCATGGGAATGTGTTTATGGTGATCGCGGATTTTGTTGGTATTCTTGCTTCTGTATGGAGATGAAAATGAGTTTGATTGTTGTTCATTTTATAGTATAGAGCAAATTACAAAAATGGTCCTCGAAGGTTAGTTTTTTTTTTTTTTTTTTTTTTTTTTTTTTTTTAATCTAATATTATATTTAATTTTTTAATAAATGTAAGCTACTGTTATTCTATTCCTAATGATGTAAATCTCTCAAGTCCCAACCAGATGAGACTTGAACCGTTGATCTGATTGTAGAAGGTATTCCCGTATAAATCATATATCGATATTCTCGAAGGAATCACATATTCATATTCCTATAGAAATCACATAACATCGACTTTTTCCCTTTCCAGACAAAAACACCAGGATTATTGAACGAATCCCTTATGCATAGGATTTAGAAGATCCGTCGGTTCACCCAGAGGTCGCATCGCGACCCACATATCTCCATAGATGTTGCCACGTGTCCTCCTAACGTTATGTGTGTCCTGTCACTCAGCCATATCGACGTGTTGCGACTTTTCCCACGTCTTTCTCTTTTGTCATGTGTCACGTTCTCGTGATACATGTCCATCACATGGTCACATCGATGTGTCGTATTAATCTAAAGAGCACATCGCGTTCTTTCACTTGTCCATTTTCTTGACTTTGCTCAAACATGTTATGTCCAAAACGGGTTCGTATGCCAAATAGGTTATAACCAAATACTCAACTTTTCGGTCATTACAATATATATTGAAATATTCAGAATTTGTCTTTCCGATTATGATAAGTTTCTTTGAAATCATGCAAGGATACATAATAATACCTATAAATCATAATTACAAACAGATTTGGTCCAAGAAATTTTGAAACAATATAGAGACCAAAAAAATGATGATTAATGTAATATTTGTTTTGTTATCCATGCCTTCATTATTTAAGTGGCTAATAAATTAAACCAAAGCAAATACGTATTATCATTTTATTATCATATATTTAGAGTTTATTTTTTATTTAAATTATAAAGGTTTATATTTAACTTAATGTATTTATGAGTTATTAGCTTTGAATGATTATAATATTTGTTTAAAAGATATAAAATAATTGATGATATAACCTTGTGGCTAATTTTTAAAAGAACGTTTATATATTATATATCTAGATAATTATAAAAGTTGATGTTGCAAAAATCTCCCTTGGTTTTTATTTATTTCTAATGGGTTTTTTCTACGTTCTTACTAGTTTTTAAATATAATTCCGGCGTTTTATTTATTTATTTTTTATTTGAAAGTTGATATATTGAATTTAAATGACCGGTGCCATTGCACCGTTACCGCTGATTTGATACATATACTATATTGTTAGTATTATATAAAGAAAAAGTGTAGAAAGTTATAATTATTTTTCATTTATTTATCAAAAATAAAAGTTATTTTATATGTATCTCCTATCTATAAAACCATATATAATTTCTTAAGATTTTTTTTCAACCAAATAAAATTGGGGTACCATATATTTTTAGGGCGTTAAACTGCACGGTTGTTGGTATCTTTTTATCTTTATATCATATATGATATGATGCGATAATTTTTTCATATAGCAAGAACACGATATGACCCGATGTCATATTTCTTTTATTTACTAGAAAACGACTTAATTAAAACACGATAAACACGACAAACATCACACTCACCAAAATGAAAATTAAAATAAACTTTTAGTTTATTTAATTTGTAATTAACTTTTACGAATACGAAAAACCGCATATTAATATTGTGTTAATTTTGTATCGAATTTTGAACACGTAGACAATACCAGATACTAGTGTGTTTTTTACAATAAACACAAACACAAATACACAAATACGAATTTAATTTCCATTTTTAATTTTGTTTAGTGGGATGTCATGGATTGAATAACCTATTACGTAATTAGGGTATTAAATAAGTACATAGGGAAATCTAGATTTAGAGAGAGGCGGGGCTATCGGCCGGGGAGGGTTGATGGAAGAAAGCAATTAATCATTTAAGAAAGCAATTAATCATTTAAGAACAGTTGAGAAATGAGAATTAGTTAATAACTTGAGAAAGTTGAAAAACCCAATTGTCTTTTATAATTTGTCAATAAGGAACGTCTAGAAACAAGTGTTTTAAATTGAATGTCCTCTTTTCTTATGAAATTGATTGTCATTTTATGTAAATAACAAAACATCATATTACTCGTAATATTGAATCCAAACCCATTTCACTGTTCATAACAGGTAAGTAAGCCTTTATTTTTAAAATTTATTATACGGCAATACTAACAGAAGGCTACATCAAAAACAGTCACAAAATTGCAAACCATAAAGGGCATTGCAACCAAGAAACCTAATTGATTTTAAGTTTCGATTTCTATACACAAACTAATTAAATGGAACAACACTATCTTTACGAAACTCATTGGATCCAAAAACTATAGCATTCTAATAAGTCCACAACATCCAAATAGTAGTCATACAAACAGCTTTTATAGCAACTCTTTTCATCATGGTCAATGTTCAACTATCTACACAACAAAAAATGTCTCGAACATTACCAAAATAAGGAAAGGTCACATCTATCTAACATGTCACTTGACTCCAAATTTGTGTTCTTAACTCACAAGACTAGAAAAAATGATTGGTTTCTTCAAGGGAAACATCCAAGAAGGACAAAGTGTCAGATCCAAATCTATTTGATCTTTTTCAAGTAAAAACAAAGTCTTGAAAATCTCTCCATAAAAGACCGATCCCCAATCCAAACATATTTCCAAAATAGAGCAAAAGATCACCAACCCGCAGTTTAAAGAAAAATTATCAAGAATACCATGATCATCCCAAATGATTAAAAGAACCAACAATTTTATGCCAACTCTTTTTGTTCTAATTCCTTCCCTATTTTATGAATTTCTTTGACAACTTTAACCCATAACGCATTACAATCATTAAGAAAATATCGATTCAACTTTTACAAGAGATCTGCACTAAAAGAACCAATACTACCAACATCAACAACACAATTTTTGTTTTGGCGTCCCATTTAATCCAACTTGTTTTCCTTTTGTGCACCTCTTCTCCCGAGAAAACAAAATAAATGGAGCTCTAGCATATCTTATTGCAGTTCTTCTGAAGCTCAAAAGTCCAGACCTATGGCATATGGAAGAGGGGAGAAAAGGAAGACAAAAAATCCAAGAGTTCCATATCTTGACTCCGCCCCCTTTCCTCACAGACGTACTTCGTTAATGACACGACAATCTTGATCATTTTTAAAGGAAAAATGTCTCATAAATCTATGATCATCCATATGATTAAAAGAACCAACAATTTTATGCCAAACTTCTTTTGTTGTGATGTATCCCTCATTCAAGATCATCCTCACCATTAGTCCCATGAATTGCTTTGACAAATTTAACTCAAAAGGCATTACAATCTTTAAGAAAATATGAATGCCACTTTTATAATTGAGCCTTACTAAAAACACTAATACTAGCAACATCAAGACCGACATTTTCTTTTGAATCTAAATGGTGTCCCATTTAATCCAACTTTTTTTCCTTTTGTTCACCTCTGCTCTCCATAAAAAACAAGAACGAACCGACTCCAATAAAGAAAACACATTTTTAGGTATTTTGAAAATATACATAAGGAAGATATGTAAACTTCCTATAGAAATTTTAGAATAACAAGAAGGCCTCAAATGTTATGCATTTTTTATTTTCCACTTGGAATATTTTTCTCATATCTATTGATTATTGTTATCCACTTATCCGCCCGATACATATTAGACCGAATGATAAACCAAGATACTTAAGGGGAAAAAGTTGTAGCACACATACCATCAGTCGCCATTTCCTCCAACAAAGTCGAACCCATCCCCACACCATATGGATTCAGATTGTTAAATTAATTTTTAACCCCAAACAAAGGTAAAAAAACAACTATAAGAACCCGCACCAAATTTTGGACATTTTTCATGTCATATGCACCAAGAAGTAGTGCATCGTCCGCATAAAATATATGTGAAATAGACAACCCTTCATTTACAACTTTTGCTCCTCTAAATACTCATGACTAATAACCTCCTTAATGGCAAAATGTAGGCCCTCCATAGCTATAATAAACAAGGACAATAGCAGATATTATAAACAAGAATGATGATAACAGATTTTCTTGTCTCGACCCCTATGAAAATAAAATTCACTAGCAGGACTCCCATTAATCAAAGTTGAAACTCAAGAAGTATTGAGCCAAGTCATGATCCATTAAATCCAAATCGGACTAAAAAACATAATTTACTTGAGTTAGTTCCAATTGAAATAGCTATAATCCTTCTCGAAGTCAACTTTTACAAGTATAAAGTTTTTATTTTTCTTATATCATATCATGACTTCATTGACCATAAGAGACTCATCAATGATATGTACAGCTTTAACAAAAGCAGACTGCTCAATGCTAACAACGAATTCAACCACATAGACTATTCGATTAGCCAAAAGTTTATCAATAGTTTTATATTGCAAACTAATAAAACTAGTGAGACATTATTTTTTCATAATGCATGTGGAATGTACTAGTTTTAATCCTACTAACTTAGACACAGAAACAAACACACGAAAGGCAGTGTGCCTATCGATTAGCAGTTTAGTTCAGGCAAGTAGGTTATCAAACACAGGGAACGGTAAACAATTAAAATTAAAGCTAATATTATCTAAATAAAACAAGTATTAAAAAGGAAGTTTTCTCTAGTTTTGCAAGACTAGAAATTTAAGCAATCAAATAACACTTAACTAAAAGACAATTAACAACTAAAGGAGAATGAAAAAACTGATGGGTTTTAGCCATAAGAACTTTCCTATGTGCGCATGCAAAACCCTAATGCTTGGATCTAGGCTTTCTAATCAAACATGCTTTGAATCCAAGACTTCTAATGACTATTTAGGTGTAATAACAATATTAAAACAGATCAAGAATCATACCT